TTGATCTACTTTTCGGACACGCCATAACTTCCGAACCGGAAGTCGGATTGAAATTTGATTTGCAGATTCGGATTCCTGACAAAATTCTACTCCTAATTCATAACTCATACGTTAAATTTGGCGAATTTTTATTTTGAGCTACTTTTCGGACACGCCATAACTTCGGAACCGGAAGTCGAATTAAAATTTGGTTTGCAGATTCGGATTTCTGAGAAGATTCTATTCTTAATTCATAACTCAAACGTTAAATTTGGAGAACTTTTTATTTTGACCTACTTTTCGGACACCATATCTCAAAAGTGGGTCAAAATACTTTCTGACGGCAAAAGGCTAACACTATTAGCATATTCTTGGCTACATGTATACACAATTTCGAAGAATATAATTAAAGTGTAGTGTCAGAATCGCAAAAATAAGGAAAACCTATGAATTTGACCTAGATTTTGACCTAGGCATTTCGGTGTACAAATTTTAAAGCTAGATGGCTTTTGAGGTCCCCTTCTTTTAAAGGCTTTGATTATATGAAGCTGAACTCAGTCTTTATTCCGTATTTTTCACTTCAAAAAAATATTTTTTCCCATTGACTTAACATGGGCACCAAATTTAGCGATTTTTGAGTTTTCAAAACGCCATAACTTCCGAACCGGAAGTCGGATCGAAATTTCGTTTTCAGATTCGGAATCCTGAGAAAATTTCCTATAAGATTAATATCCTGGACATTTGATTCGGAGAACTTTTTTTTGGACCTCGTTTTCGGACACTGATATCTCGAAATCGGTTTGAGATATCAAAAAACTAAATCGATCCTAGGTTTCCTACTTTTTTATAAGGAACACAATGAAAAAAACTCGGATCGAAAATATTGAAGGACGACCGAGAAAATCGAAAAAAGTGACAAAGTACTGGATTTGACCTAGTTCTTGACTTTTGACCTAGATAAAAATTTGACCCAATTTCCAAGGAACTAGATTCTGGACCTAAATTGACCAAATGACTGATTTTACTGAAAACCTTACGGTTATTGAGAAAACTTGCTTAGAATAATAACTAGATTTTGGAAATTGAACGAAGTTCAATTTCAGACTCCAGATCTAGACTTTTTTTAGCCGAGTCATCCAGAATAAGCCGAGTCATCCAGAATAAGCTGAGTCATCTAGAAAGAGATGGATAAATAAAATAGGAAGGTAGGATAGGATAGAATAGGAAAGAACGATAGGATAGAATAAGAAAGAAGGATAGGATAGAATAGAATAGGAAGAAAGGATAGGATAGGATAGAAAGGAAAAGATATGAAGGAAGGATAGATAGGAAGGATAGGGTAGGATGAGATAGGAAGGATGGATGAATTTTTCAATATTTTCTTCTCTACTCTTGACTTTCTATCAGGATACCATCAGATCGATTTTTCTCGAAATTTCAAAACGCTATCACTTCCGAACTGGAAGTCGGATCGAAATTTGGTTTGCAGATTCGGATTCCTGACAAAATTCTACCCCTAATTAATAACTCATACGTTAAATTTGGAGATTTTTTATTTTGACCTACTTTTCGGACACGCCATAACTTCCGAACCGGAAGTTGGATCGAAATTTGGTTTGCAGATTCGGATTCCTGACAGAATTCTACCCTTAATTCATAACTCATATATTCAATTTGGAGAACTTTTTATTTTGACCTACTTTTCAGACACCATATCTCAAAAGTGGGTCAAAATACTTTCTGACGGCAAAAGGCTAACACTATTAGCGTACTCTTGGCTACATGTATACAAAATTTCGAAGAATATAATTAATCTGTAGTGTCAGAATCGCAAAAATAAGGAAAAACTTTGAATTTGACCTAGATTTTGACCTAGGCATTTTGGTGTCCAAATTTTGAAGCTAGATGGCTTTTGAGGTCCCATTCTTTTAAAAGCTTTCATTATATTTAGCTAAACTCAGTCTATATTTCATATTTTTTACTTCAAAAAAATCTTTTTTCCCATTGACTTAACATGGGCACCAAATTAAGCGATTTTTGAGCTTTCAAAACGCCATAACTTCTGAACCGGAAGTCCGATCTAAATTTGGTTTTCAGATTCGGAATCCTGAGAAAATTTCCTATATGACTAATATCCTGGACCTTTGATTCGGAGAACTTTTTTTTGGACCTTGTTTGCGGACACTGATATCTCGAAATCGGTTTGAGATATTAAAAAACTAAATCGACCCTAGGTTTCCTACTTTTTTATAAGGAACACAATGAAAAAAACCCGGATCGAAAATATTGAAGGACGACCGAGAAAATCGAAAAAAGTGGCAAAGTACTGGATTTGACCTAGTTCTTGACCTTTGACCTAGATAAAAATTTGACCCAATTTCCGAGGAACTAGATTCTGAACCTAAATTGACCAAATGACTGACTTTACTGAGAGCCTAATGGTCATTGAGAAAACTGGGTTAGAATAATAATAATAAGAAGAAGAAGAATAAGAAAACTGACGAAAACAATAGACTCCAGATTTCATCTGGAGTCTAATAATAATAACTAGATTTTGGAAATTGAACGAGTTCAATTTCAGACTCCAGATCTAGACTTTTTTTAGCCGAGTTATCCAGAATAAGCCAAGTCATCCAAAATAAGCTAAGTCATCCAGAAAAAGATGGATGGATGAAAAAGGAAGGAAGGATACGATAGAAAAGGAAGGAACGATAGGATAGAATAGGAAAGAAGGATAGAATAGAATAGGAAGGAAGGGATATAATAGGAAGGGTAGGAAGGAGAGGATACGAAGCAAGGGTAGATAGGAAGGATAAGATAGGATCAGAAAGGAAGGATGGATGCATTTTTCAATATTTTCTTCTCTACTCTTGACTTTCTATCAGGATACCATCAGATCGATTTTTCTTGAAATTTCAAAACACCATAACTTCCGAACCGGAAGTCGGATCGAAATTTGATTTGCAGATTCGGATTCCCGACAAAATTCTACCCCTAATTCATAACTCATACGTTAAATTTTGACCTACCTTTCGGACATAACTTCGGAACCGGAAGTCGAATCGAAATTTGGTTAGCAGATTTGGTTTTCTGAGAAAATTCTATTCTTAATTCATAACTCAAACGTTAAATTTGGAGAACTTTTTATTTTGACCTACTTTTCGGACACCGTATCTCAAAAGTGGGTCAAAATACTTTCTGACGGCAAAAGGCTAACGCTATAAGCACACTCTTGGCTACATGTATACACAATTTCGAGGAATATAACTAAAGTGTAGTGTCAGAATCGCAAAAATAAGGATAAACTATGAATTTGACCTAGATTTTGACCTAGGGATTTTGGTGTCCAAATTTTGAAGTTAGGTAGCCTTCAAGGTTCCCTTCTTTCATAGGCTTTCATTATTTTAAGATGTACTTAGTCTATATCTCGTATTTTACACTTCAAAAAAATCTTTTTTCCCATTAACATAACATGGGGCACTAAATTTAGCGATTTTTGAGCTTTCAAAATGTCATAACTTCCGAACTCGAAGTCGAATCGAAATTTGGTTTGCAGATTCGGATTCCTGAGAAAATTCTATACTCAGTTCGTAACTCACACGTTAAATTTGGAGAATTTTTTATTTTGACCTACTTTTCGGACACCATATCTCAAAAGTGGGGCAAAATACCTTCTGACGGCAAAAGGCTAACACTATAACCACACTCTTGGCTACATGCATACAAAATTTCGAAGAATATAATTAATCTGTAGTGTCAGAATAGCAAAAATAAGGAAAAACTTTGAATTTGACCTAGATTTTGACCTAGGCATTTTGGTGTCCAAATTTTGAAGCTAGATGGCTTTTGAGGTCCCATTCTTTTAAAAGCTTTCATTATATTTAGCTGAACTCAGTCTATATTTCGTATTTTTCACTTCAAAAAAATATTTTTTCCCATTGACTTAACATGGGCACCAAATTTATCGATTTTTGAGCTTTCAAAACGCCATAACTTCCGAACCGGAAGTTTGATTCGAATTTGGTTTTCAGATTCGGAATCCTGAGGAAATTTCCTATAAGACTTATATCCTTGACATTTGATTCGGAGAACTTTTTTTTGGACCTCGTTTTCGGACACTGATATCTCGAAATCGGTTTGAGATATCAAAAAACTAAATCGACCCTAGGTTTTCTACCTTTTTATGAGGAACACAATGAAAAAAAAACGGATCGAAAATATTGAAGGACGACTGAGAAAATCAAAAAAAGTGACAAAGTACTGGATTTGACCTAGTTCTTGACCTTTGACCTAGATAAAAATTTGACCCAATTTCCGAGGAACTAGATTCTGAACCTAAATTGACCAAATGACTGACTTTACTAAAAACCTTACGGTTATTGAGAAAACTTGTTTAGAATAAGAATAAGAATAAAAAGAATAATAAGAAAACTGACGAAAACAATAGACTCCAGATTTCATCTGGAGTCTAATAATAATAAGCAGAAAAAGAATAATAAGAAAACTGACGAAAACAATAGACTCCAGATTTCATCTGGAGTCTAATAAGAATAAGAAAACTGACGAAAACAATAGACTCCAGATTTCATCTGGAGTCTAATAATAAGAAGAAAACTGGCAAAAGCAATAGACTCCAGATTTTCATCTGGAGTCTAATAATAAAGAAAACTGGCAAAAGCAATAGACTCCAGATTTTCATCTGGAGTCTAATAATAAAGAATAATAAATAATATCTATAAAATCTATAGGAGGCCCCCTGTCGGGGCCTCCTAATAATACCGGCAAAGCTACTATACTCCCTCCTACACATATTAATTTTCATTCCACGTTGGAAAAAACAATACTAATTTTCTCGAAAGTGATTTGCAATTCAGCTTATTTTAAAAGAATGTAAATGAGGGCGTCCCCTTCTTTCAATATTCTGGATGAATACATCTAATGTTAAAATTCTAAATATTCTTCTGGAATAAAATAAGAATTTGGAGAAATTTTAAAAAATCCCTTCTACTCCCTCTATGTAGCTTGCAATGAGGTGCTGGATGGAAAAACGATAGATTGGAATTGGAATGCGGGCAATGAAGAATACGAATCCATATGTGTTAAAGAAGGTATGTTGATGTGTCCAACAATTCCTATATACTAATACAATTAATCCATACCGAACCGTCTATATCATAAAACATAAATTGTTATGCAACAATTTCAGTAAATCTATAACACAAGACCGGATGGGCGAATATTTCTACTGCTATTTCTATAAGATATACATATTTATCCTATGCCAAGTCGAGTTTTAGGGAGATAAGTTGGTAAGATATATCCCGTATCTTGATTTTGAGGTTTCCATATCCTGAACCTCCATATCTCCCGCCATATCTCCCGCTCCAGGCATAAATTCCCGCTCCGAAAAAAAAAATTTTAAAAATTGAAAAAAAAGAAAAAATGTGAAAAAAATAAAAAAAAATAAAAATTTTAAAAAAATCGAAAAAATTGAAAAAAATTAGAAAAATGTGAAAAAAAATTGAAAAAATAAAAAAAAATTGAAAAAAAATTGAAAGAAAATTAGAAAACTTGGTATAGGATAAAGCAGTTATGTACGGTCGGTTTGGATATTGGGTTCTTCCCTCGTGAGATATGCACATCTACCTTCGGTCCCTACGGTCCCTCAGGTAGATATGTATATCTCCCTCTGGATAAACCCCATATACAAAACCTCCCAGTACATAACCCTTATTTATCTACAATTTGATCCTAGATATCAAAGGATATTAACGACATTGCATTTAGTTCCTAGCCATTAGTTATTTAACGAATTAGCAAGTCAGTTAATTGCCCATAACACAAAACCACATAGCCTATGTATCCAGTTTAATTACTAGTAGTCTATAACAAAAAAAACGCATAGTTACTAGTTAGCCTATAACACAAAACGCCTTTGTATCCAGTTCAATTACTATTATATCTAGTTGTCTCATAACACAAAACTGCACTAAGTTACTATAATCTAGTTATTAGTCTATAATCATGAAAAGCGTATGTATCCAGATAATTTGACAAATTGCTAGTAGTCTATAATGCAAAACAGGTTAAAGCTTTATATATATTTAAATTGGTCAATAAAACAGAATTACATACAGTATGTACCCAGTTCAGTATTAGTCTATTTATAACACAAAACTGCATACGTGTCACCATTCCATTTCGTCTTAAATACAAAACTGATGCATTTTGTAAGTATCAATTTCATTAAGCTCAAAACACAAAAGGTCATAGGCTATGTATCCGTTTTGAACCATCTATAACGAAAAAACAAAAGAGCTATAAATCTGTATCGAATTGTCTGTAACACATAACTCCATTTAGCTTTTTATGTCACATATAACAAGATATTGTAGCATATTGATGTATGGATCATTCGTTCAAAATAAGTTGTCACATTTTGACATTTTTAGGTTCAACAGTAACATTCGTCTGGGGAGATGGGAACCACAATGTTGAACAATTAGATCATGACGAATACATGAATTGTGGTGTCACAATGTCAGGCAAAGATGATGCTGGTACTAAATCGATAACATTTGAAAAGGAAGGAACATATTACTTTGTATGTGGAGTAGGGAAACATTGTAGCGTTGGGGGCATGAAGATTAAAATTATAGTAGTAGAAGAAAACGAAGAAGAAGATGAAGAAGAAGAAGAGGAAGAAGAAGAAGACAAAACAACAACTATTTCAACAATAACAACAACAACAACAACAACAGATGACGACAAAACAACTACTGAAGCTATGGAGACTTCAACAAAAGAAGAAGAAGAAGAAGAAGAAGAAGAAGAAGAAGAAGGAGATAATGATGATAATGACGACGACAAAACAACTACTACCACAATAACAACAACAACAGATGACGACAAGACAACTACTGAAGCTATGGAGACTTCAACAAAGGAAGAAGAAGTGGAAGAAAATGATGCTAATGACGACGAAACAACAACTACTACAACAATAACAACAACAACAGATGACGACAAGACAACTACTGAAGCTATGGAGACTTCAACAAAGGAAGAAGAAGGAGAAGAAGAAGATAATGATGATAATGACGACGAAGGTAAAACATGCAAAAATAATTCATGAAAACACTTGCATGATATACTGGGGATCTATCGTTCAAAAAAAGTTATATACAGGGTGGTCCAAAAAGGTGAACCCTGGCAACAAGCTATATCTCAGTTATTTCTTGCATTAATGGGCTGATATTCTAAGAGGAAGGTCGAAATCTTTTGCGGGTATCACAAAGGTCACTCTAGCAAGTCTAGCAGAAGTTACATGGCATCACCAGACATGATTGATAAATAGGTGATGTGCTCAATCTATGCTCTACAGTTCTAAATAACTGCTTCAACGCGAATGTTGAAGCTATCCACTGCTAGTTCCAGTATATCCAGGGGTGCTATGTAGTTTTTTAACATTTTTCTTTATTTGAAGGAAAGAATTGTTGAACATCCTTTATATGATCCACGTGGAATCCACTTGGATATATGTGGCAATAAACGTATATTCCACATGGAATCCACACTTTTTTGCAAGTGAATTTGATCCACATGGATCCTCATTATTGTCACATGTTTCAATAGGGATTTTTCGCAAGGATTCCATGGGAATAAACATGGAAAATCTTTCCCTATTCCACGTGCCTAAAAATTCATGCGGATTTCACGTGGAATCCATATGTGGGCTTTACGAGGATTCCAGATGGTTCCTCGTGGTAAAGGTTCCATGTGGATGTGGATTGACTATATCTAATGTTTTTGAGCAGTAAACAACTTCAACATTCGCATTACAGCAGTTATCCAGAACCGTGAAGCATGGATTGAGCACATCACCCATTTATCAGGCATGTCTGTTGATGCCATGTAACTTCTGTAAGACTGAATTAAGACTGGGTGACCTTTATTTTACCAACATTTTTAAATATGGTTTTAAATAGTTCTATGGGACGATGGTCAAGCTTTGATTTAACCAATTTAACTAGATTCCTTCTTACTTTCAATCCTAGAAGAGCACCCCAATTAAATCATACGTAAAAATATACACGAAGCTTAAAATCGATTGGTAACAGTTGTAACTTGGCCAAGCGCAGATTCAGCGCAGCTCATCTTTTCCGAAATTGGTTTTAAAAGTATGCTTGAAATTCCAACTTTGTGTTTTGACTTTCAGACTGTCAGTTCTGTAAAGATGAAATGGTTAAGGAAGGACCTATAATTTCCATTCCGTGGCTTGTAAAGAAATACGCCCCTATGTGTGTAAGAAAGGGTACGTAGGAACACAATTACAAAGGACATTTATTTGACCTTTAATAGATAGATTCTGTACACTTTTATGTTCACAAATAAAATGTGTTGTAGTTGAATTTCATATTGCATTGAGAAGCTTGTCTCAACAGAGACTTTTTATCAACCGTAATTACAAATATACTATACATATGAAGACAACCAAATTATATTAAATGGGGACATAAAACATTAATAGCTCAGGTAACATCGTCCAATTACCTCCCATACATTGTATTTTATCTGTTTTACCTTATTCAGATTAGTAGTCATTCGCGATCTGTACTGCCTTGATCACAATGTGGTTGATTTCAGGTTCTACAGTAACATTTTCATTCCCAAATAATCACAATGTAAACGAAATGACTAAAGAAGATTTCGAAACGTGTAGCAATTTTGTTGACAAGGCAAGACGGAGAGGACCTGTTATGAAGGAGCTAAACGAGGCAAAGGCGTATTACTTCGCATGTGGCGTAGGAATGCACTGTTGGCCACATGGACAAAAGATCAAAATATGTGCCATGTAGATTTTGCAAAATGCTTAAAGGACACTAGCAAGCTACAGATTATTTTAATGTGCTATTCATGATATTCTGTACATGAACAAAATAAAGATTGTTGATGTTAAGAATATTGAGTGCAACTGCAATTCTATGTTTGTTGATGTATGTATATGGGCTTCGAGACTGGATGTTGTCGGTCCCACGTGATTTGAGACTGAATGCCTTTTCTTATATTAATAATATCTTCAACTACTTTTGACGTTATGAGTGTTGGTTTATCAATTTATATTTATTCTTCAAAATATATTGTAATGGTTTCTGTATGAGTTAATTCAAGTTATGTTTTAATCATCGAAGGAACTATACATAGAGACAACAGATTATTTTTGAAGAATATCTCAGTAACCATTGTTAGAATATACCCATGGTCAAATATAGGGCTTTTTGACAATGGCCAGTGTAAAAAGGTTTTAAACATACACAGTACATAACATAAATGATGTTATTTAGATTACAAAGGATCATTAGTAATATATTGCTCACACCACTTGAATTAACTGGAATTGAAAACATAATGTCCTCGTTACAGTATTGCCGACTTTCGGTTGGAGAAAAATTTTGTCACCCTTATCCATCAAATTTTAATTTACTATATGGCCAAAAGGTAGAACGTAGATTCTGGTTTTGAAATATGATTACATCTCAGAAATTGATAAAGTAATCATTTCGAGATTTACTCAGTTTCCTGAGGAAACGAACACAGTTTTCTGTTTGGCATGCAGCAATTATAGAGCATATTTAGAATCAATCCGGATTGAACAGAAAACGAAGTACCTCTGCTAAATAAGGAATTTACAAAATAACAACTTTATTTTAAATAGCGAGAATTTTTGTTACAAATGTATTCTTTGATAACAAAAATACAATTTGAGGTTTGGTTCATTTATGTACTGGTGCCACGGAGACATAACATCTGCTCAATGAATTTTCAAAATGACTACTGTAAACAAAATGGTCCCCTTGATTCATTTTCAAATATGAGCGTGCTCTAATTGAATTTAACATGCACGGCCGTGTTATATTCAATCATCCGGGGATCTATATATTGTGAAGTCAAACCTATTAATGGCGAAAATAACAGCAAGTTTGGTTATTTTATGGACCCCAAACCCAAAAGTTTCGTTTTTATGTTTGAATCGGAATAAATAAGTAATTAAAGGGTATCCAATATGGTGAAATTGTACACGCGTTGGTCATGTTTGAATTAAGGAATCAACAATGATAGGCCTGCCATTCGATATGGTGAAATTCTACACTCGTTGGACAAAATGTCTTCTGTTCGTACTTTGTCCAACTTGTGCTGAATTTCATCATATCTAATGGGCTATCATTATTTATTCCTAAACGACTGTCGGATATTAATTACCATTTTGGCGTTTTTTCATTTTCGACATATTTCTGCGGTTCATCTATTTTTGTATTTTTTCCTACAATGTAAAGTCAATGCCTTTACTTCGTTTGGTTGGTATTTGAATCAAATTCTAAAGATGGCCACTGACTTTGTTTTTTCAGCTAGAAAACAATTTGAGCCCCCATGTTAGAAATATAACCACAATAAGGTGAGCTTTTATCATTCAGTTTTAGATTAGAAATTGGGATTTTCTGAACGGGTTACAGACACCTTAAACGCATCAATTTCAATTGTGAGTTCCCACTCTCATCTATCGCTTATGAGTGACTTCTTTGATGTTTAACTTCTTTTGAAATTATAAAGACAAAGGGAGTATGGTAAAGTCAATGCCTTTACTTCGTTTGGTTGGTATTTGAATCAAATTCTAAAGATGGCCACTGACTTTGTTTTTTCAGCTAGAAAACAATTTGAGCCCCCATGTTAGAGTATAACCACAATAAGGTGAGCTTTTATCATTCAGTTTTAGATTAGAAATTGGGATTTTCTGAACGGGTTACAGACACCTTAAACGCATCAATTTCAATTGTGAGTTCCCACTCTCATCTATCGCTTATGAGTGACTTCTTTGATGTTTAACTTCTTTTGAAATAATAAAGACAAAGGGAGTATGGTTTAATGTCTCAATGCACTTTCTACAAATCATGAACTGAAAATCATGAACTGAAAAAATATCCGGCTGATGAAGGTATTTATCCTTTTCAACTTTCAACATCATCATATTTGAAAGATAGAGATAATTGAAATGTTATATGATCTTTCCTTTTCTTAAGACATATTGCGTGAATCTCGAATTTCTCCTTTGTTTTTAAATACTAAAAGAATGACGGAAATTAGTGCAAACGATTTTTGACAGTTGATACTTTTTTGCGAGTAGTTTCTGGCTGTAAAAAATAAATGCATATGAAAGACAAATGCATAATTGTCAAGAAAAGTACAAAGAATGGTTCCAAGACCAACTGGATTATCTCATAATTCGTGTTAATTCACCCATTAACATGCATGCTTCTTTCAAAATACAATCGTTATGTACTTGAACACACATGTTTTATCACATAAAATGTATAAATCATTCCATAAAGGGATTTATATTTGTTTTTTGAGTTTTTTCCGAAAAAAACAACCTCTAAAATTGCACGTTTACAGAAATAATTTAGAAGTGGTGCAAATTACCGTGAACTTGCATTGTTCAAGACAAGAGCCTTCATAAGCTGACCCTCGGTCCTGGATTGTGGACGATACTCAACTTAAACAAAATAAATCAGATCAAATAGAACCAAGGCTCAAGTAGGACAAAATCCAGGAGAAAATGAAAAGAAACAGGATCGACAAAATCGAGAGATTCAAAAACAGAAACCGTTTCCTGGAAACATTGATTTATTTTCTTTAAGTTGAACTCGGTTAGAATATCTCTGACCAGACACCTTTTGTAAAGTAAACTAAACAAGTAGCAACCTTAAAGATGTAAAAGAACTGTAGTTAGAATCTCAGCTCACTTTTTGGGACTGGGGCACAAAACAGGTGGTTTGTCACATTTAACAGTGTTACAACTGCACTGGGCATTCTCTATTCCGACCATGCTGTTTGGTGCATCACTTATAAACTACCAAGCATCAGATGTTGAAAATCTTAAAATGACGCATAGGGAGCCAATTCTAGGGCAACAATGTCGGTGAGATGGTTATCCGTAGACGGCCATATGGTTACCCTGCTACACATGATGTACTGTATCTCTGGAGGCTACCTGGGCTCAATAATATGGATACAAGGAAATGATCATTACACGATGTTTCATGTCATGTAGAATTTTCCTGAAGACAAAAACGATAGGAATTGAGAATCTGGTTTGAAGTTCGCTTGAGTCTGGATATTGTCATGTGATATTGTAAAATCACAATGGCATCAATTTTGTTATGATAACGTTACCACGGTGGTATAGCATGACGGTTATGACACCTCTGAAAACGAGATTAGTCGACTACGATCACTGATTTATCCAATAAAATGGCCGCGATGGAACGGAAAACTAAGGTTGGTGCATTATTTTCTTCTATCAATGAAAGGATGAACGACTTTTGTAGGCATCGCATTCGGTGATGCACTTAGTAATGTATATTTTGAACGTATTCTTTGCAAATTGATGCCCGGGGATAACATAAAATAAGCGAAAACTGTTGAGTTTAAAATTCAAAACTACACAAAATATAGTAATTTGTTTATTTTTGTCGTTAGGACATGGTCTACATTGCCTAACGACCTCGGGGTATACACTCCCCTCCATAAGTTTGGCAACCTTTTTTCCCCATTGAACTATGTGTTAAAGCCTCTTTACGTTTGAATTTTTATTTACTTAACCGGCGATGAAATAACGTATAATATTAATGGAAACGTAACTTGACTTTATTTCCAATACCAAATTTTCTCAATTTTTTTCCTCAATTACAATAGTTCGAAAATTGAGGATAAATTTGATGAATTTTTGAAAATCGTCATTCCCATGTAATCCAATGGGAAATGGAGGGTTCGGGGCAAATCAGAAATCAGAATATCTTTTCAGTAAAAGATTCAGCAAAAAATATTTTTATATAGAAAATTGAATTGTCTAACTTTTTTGAACACTAAGTGTTTAGTTTATTTGATGAATATTAAAGTTACAGCGCTTCAAAGTCATTTTTGAAAATAATTTTTCGCCTCCTGTGTTATTTCAATGGGAGAGGTTTTTTGAAAAACAATTTTGACTTTAAAGCCCTATTACTTTGTTGAACCTGAAGAAACATATCAATTTTCTGTTAAATAAAGTTAGCAAATTCAATTGCCTGCCTAACTCGTATTTTTTGCAAGGACTCGGATGGATGGATATTCTGTCATATGACTTGCGGCAAACCTACCATTTCCCATTGGTTAACATGGGAATGTCGATTTTCAAAAATTCATCAAATTTATCATCAATTTTCGACCCATTGTAACAGAGGAAAAAAATTGAGAAAATTTGGAGGTCTTGGAATTAAAGTCAAATTACGTTTCCATCAATAGTATAAGTATTTTCATCGCAGGTTAAGTAAATAAAAATTCAAAGGTAAAGAGACTTTAACACGTAGTTCAATGGGGGAAAAAAGGTTGCCAAACTTATGGAGGGGAGTGTAGAGATGTAACCTACATACGATCATAAAAAGCCAATTGAGCATTGGAAACCACCTAATATATCCTACTTAAGCCATAATATTGTATTTTTAATTTGCGGTCACGCCAAAAATTGATTGACGGTTACGCGAACCTCGTTCAAATATGTAAACCAGATTCATTGTTATTAATTTTGTCATATTCATCAGTACTTGATGCTAATTATTCTTTTGCCTCTTCATTGCTATCTTTTTGACTTAAATGGTTTCATTAATAAAGCAAGAAACAATTTTTTCCTTGCCCTATAGAGGCTCAAACAAGAGCGTCTCTTGCGAGTCCTGAAAACAAATACAAGCAATTCAATATTCCATTTCTTACCCATTATAACAATTTCATGGAAAGAGGCTTTCAGAGCTAGCAAACTTAACTTGAAAGATGTACATGCACGTAACCGTCCGCTAAATATCTAATGTACATCTAATACAATACGTTACCGTCCATAGAATCCATACGTAGTCGTCTAACGAGATTGCGTTTGAAACCTTATTATTTACAATATGACCA